TAAAAGGGTCTAATCTTTGTAACCTTCGTGTTATGAAAATCAACAGGAAGATACTTGAAGGAGCAATAGATTATGAACCATGAGATGGAAGACAAGAATAATTGTCTTGACAATGAGCTCTTTCATCCAGGACGGAGGATAGTGAGATAGTGAGTGGAGTCTACGGAAATTAGAGGTGCTCCAATTAGTTTCATCATCTAACTCCGTAGCAACAAGTGATTGGTTAAGAGGATGCAAGGATAGAATTCATAACATTTTGTCTGAGCGCAGTTCTTCCTTATCTTGTGTCGACAATAAGATGCTTAGCGTAGAACTCAACAAACATCACTTTCTGATTGAAAGAATACAACCATTGAAGAAGATACAGAGTCATCGAAATTGGTTTAAATGACCAAGCTTAATGATAAGATCTGATATTTCCATATTTATACATACGTTTAAGCAATATTTGAATACATTTTTATACATATTTTGGTTGTTTTCATGGAATAATGGTACTTATAAGATTAAATTGTATTTTTTTAGCCAATATAACTCATTTTGGAAAATAAAGACTAAAAGTGGAAAAAGAAGAAACTTTAGAGGCTTGGAATATTAAAGAGAAGAAAACCCATGAAAACAGTTGTATCCACATCGTGGATATCATTTACACAACGTGGCAAGGAAAATTCTGGAAGATGTGTATGCGCAAAGTCGAAATCCTTTCCCGATAAGGATTCCTCTAAGTCCACAACGTTGAATGTAATTTCATGACAACTATATATATATATATATATATATATATATATATATATATATATATATATATATATATATATATATATATATATATATATCTTTAACACTTACGGGTTTGGAGGTTGGTGTTTGGGAGAATAGAGTTCCAGAAGTCGTTTTTTCAGAGGATTACAAGCTAGGAAACCCAGAATTTCAACCAAGGAAGAAGAAGGAGATCATAGTTTATTCTTTGTTTGATATATTACTATGTATTCACCTATGAAGTTTGTTAGTGTGATTGTTTTGATGAGTAGCTAAATCTAGCTGCTTTTGTTAGCTAGATGAAGCTGGAACTCATGACTTGTTTATATTAATTTAGACTTTTCTAGTTGGTTGATGTCTTGTGTTTGATTGTTTATACCTAACATGTTTAATTTGATACGTAATTGCTTTAATTCATATTTTGTGTAGTTAGTGACCATTAATCTGCATGAATTTGACTACCTAGTAATTTAGTGAACATTAGATTATTAGAGCTAAGATTAAACCAATTTTAGATAAGCAGTTGAAGTATTGAATTTGGTTGTGTTGGAGAACTCATATTGTGAGCACAATTGTGTTTGTTAACTCAATATTACATACCTCCAATCCTATCTAATAATTGATTATTTTTTAAATTATATATAACCATGCATAGTTGTACATGAATTAAATGAATATTGGTAAATTTGGAATTGAATTGCTAATAATACTTTAATTGGTAACCAACGAGAATTGTCATAATTAATATTTAAACAATTAAGGGAAAGTGGATTCAAACTAACAAAAGTGTTTTTATAATTTGATTGAATAGGTATTGATAAATTAAGTTCATCTAAACTTGAAAAATTAGATAAAAACCCCATTTTACTTTTATTAGAATTTTAGATTAATTTAATAGTACGTAGATTAAATAATGGATTCCGTTTCCTGTGTTCACTACCCAACTTTTGTACTATACTATTTGCGATAGGTACACTGCCCTGAGTCGAATAACTAGTGGGAGAGTAGGTAAAATTAGGTGTAGCTATTTGAACACATCAAGTTTTTGGTGCCGTAGCCGGGGAACAACTTATTTGATTGTTAATTTATTTGCTTTGAGTTAATCGACCCTTTTTGTGGGGTAAAACCTGCAAAACGTTAATTTTTTCATTAATTTTTGTTTCAAGTCTGAGACCACGACGTGGACCTTAAGTACACGACGTGGGTTCAGTTAGGAAAGTGTTTTTAGTATTTTTAATTTTTAGTTTTTGTTCAGCTTTATGTTTTTGTTTTTGTTTTTGTTTTTGTTTATTTTGCAGTAGTTCATGACCAGAGGTTCCAACAAACCTTTGGAAGCACCACTTGAAGATCCAGAGTCGACCCTTCACAAAAAGACGGATAAAAACATGAAAGAAGACCAACCACCAAAGAGCTCACCATTTAAAGACTTTAAATTAGTATTTGGAAAGAAGAAATGGAAGAAAGTGGGAGAGTCAAGTACATCTTCGAAGGACTAAAGTAAGATTAAAGATCTTCATCAAATAACTAGTAATACGGGTTCGAACCCGAATTCGAATTAGAGAAAAGTGAACCCGGAGATGAGCCAAAAAAACGAAATGGAAAATATTGAGGATATGTCCATGGGAGCACACAAAAAGTAGATAAAAGACGATGTTGGTCCTTGTTTAGTACAACCTATGATTCCCGCCACTGCAACATTCTTGTTGAAAGGGCACATCCTTACTGCACTTAAGGATGTACCATTTTCTAGGAAGGATCATGAGGATGCTTACAGGCATTTAGATGAAGTCAACGACATTGCCAATTATTTCAATATCCCAAATGTTCCAATAGAGATTGGGTTGTTAAGGATGTTTCCCTTTACTTTTAAGGGAGATGCAAGAAACTGGTTGAAAGCACTTCCACCCATTGCAATTACTTCTTGGGCATAGATGCGTGAGCAATTCTTGGAACAATTCTGCCCACCATCAAAATAATCTAAACTCAAGAAGGCAATAGCTAACTTTGAGCAAAATCCGGGTGAATCACTTTATGAGGCATGTGAGTGTTATAAAGGGTTACTAAGAAATTGCCCTCAAAATGACCTTAAAATACAACAAGAGGTGTCTTTCTTTTATGACGGGGTGAATGTCATGACAAGGAAACTCCTTGATTCTCAAGGACCACTTACTAAGAAAAATCTGGGTGAAGTAAAGGATTTGATTGAAGAGTTCTCAAAGCATTCTCGTGAATACCATAATCCAAGACATGATGGAGCTAAATGAATTGGGGGAGGAAATTCTGAAGCCATGGCTACTGTACTAGCTATGCTTGATACCATGGATCGAAGAATGACCAAGATAGACCAATCGATTCATGGAATTAGAGTTGGTTTTGAAAGGTGCAATGGTCCACACTTAAAAAAATATTGCCACTTGGATGAACATGGAAATAAAAAGGTGCAAGTTTGCTACTCAAGTGGGGATAAGTATGATGAAAATTGGAGGAAACCAAAAAGGGAGTGGTTACCATATGATGAATACAAGAAGCAAAAAGAAGGAAAGTATAGACAAATTGACCGAGGCTTCTACCAAAAAGAACAACCACCTCCCGAGAAAAAAGTTGATCTTGAATCTATGTCACCTAGATTTATTGAGGTTTCTGAGAAAAGACACGATGAAACAGATGCAGTGATAAGGGAACATTAGAATATCATGAAAGAACAACAAGCCTTGCTAAGAAATCACCAAGCATCGATCCAAAATATCGAAGTCCAACTAGGTCAACTAAATACTCTAGTACAAGATAAATTATCTCCAAAAATCCCTGAGAAAAAGCCTCAATCACATGTCATGGTAATGGAAACTAAAGAGGATACCATTTCTGAGTTCCTTGAATCACTAGAAGTCGATCCAGCTCAGTCTGAAACAAATTCGAAGAAGTCCAAACTCGAAGAACGTAAACTTGCTGAAACACTGAAACCACAACATGGAGATCCAATTTCCACGACATGGAATAGCTATGATCAGAAAAATTTGGATAATGTTCCTACTTATCGTCCTCCTTTACCATTTCCTTCCCAAGCCAATATCCATCCGCTTGAGTAGGAGCATCTGAAATTTATGCAACAAGTGAAGGGTATTCCAATAAATACCCCTTTCATTGATTCGTTATCTAAAGTTCCCAAGTATGCCAAGTTTTTGCAAGATTTAATCACTACTCGCCAGCAGCTAGAGAAGGATTCTAAGGTAATTCTAAGCGAGCAGAGTTCTAAAGTAATTATGGGAGAGTTACCAAAGAAGATGGGAGATCTTGGACATCTCACTCTTCCATGTGAATTTGGAAATAATTTGAAGACTTATGCTTTAGCTGATTATGGGGCTAGCATAAATCTAATGCCTTACTCATTTTATCAAAAACTTAATATTCCAAGGATGAAAGCTACAAGAATGACAATTCACATGACCAATCGTTCAGTAACATATCTGAGAGGCATTGTAGAAGATATTTTAGTTATAAATTAGAAAATTCATTTTTCCAATTGATTTTGTCATAATGGACATGAAAGAAGACAATAATGTTCCAATTATCTTTGGTCGCCCTCTACTTAATATTACTAGATCCTTCGTTGATATTCAGGAATCCAAGATTAACTTGAGAGTGGGAGATGATGAAGCTACTTTTGGAGTAGAAGATGGCTTCCAAGGGAGTGATGTTCAAGATGAAGTTTTCAATGTCTGAAGAAAATGAACTTGAAGAATTAGAAAAGCTTACTGAAGAAGAAATTCGACAAGTCAACCACACCAAACCAAGAGCATCTTTTCCTATGGTCTTTGAAGTTATTGCTTATAAAACTCTAACATCTTGGGTAAGTGAAGACAATGAAGAATTGGTGTCCAGTGATGAAGAGGATGTTACTTCTAAATTAAATAGTTCAATTTAGAAAAAAAGGATGGTTCCTGTGGAGCTTAAAAATGAAGAAGTTAAACATGTGGAAAATAAGGGAGTTAAAAGAAAGCTTGAAGAAGGAGATGTAAAGGGTAAAAAAGAGAACTCCAAAAAGGCGTATCTTAGATGAGTCCAAGCGTATAGAAGGAAATGGAAGGAGCAAAAGGTGCAATTGGTGATGGACACTCCGAGTAATTCAACGTAAGATGGCAAGGAGTTCGGCTCAAGACTCCAACTAAAAGAAGCACTTCTCGGGAGGCAACAAAACATATTCCAAAATACAAAAATCTATAGTTTTAAGTCGTTGTCAAAATCTAGGTGCATTGGAAGCCAGATAGAGCCTTCTTTTCGCAGTAATTAAGCAACACACTCAATGAGACAGGAACGTTGAGGTTGATTCCCAAGACATTAGCTTTAATGGCATTGCAAAGACATATTGCAGCGTCAAGATCTGCGAGACCAGAAATGAGGGAACAACATGGTGTCTCTGATCGATTTCCTATGACTATGGGGAGAAGATTGTTGAGGAGGTTAGCACACACACCCAATTTGAGAGTGTCTCTCGGGCAAGTAGCTTTGGGAGGGGTTGAAGGTTTTGGAGGTGTTGAAGGTTTTGAAGGTGGAGGTGGGCAGCCTTTTATGGTATTAGTGGAGGATGCGAGAGTGAAGAAAACAAGGTTGAACGTAAGGAGAAAAGCTGTGATTACCAAAACTGTTGAAGCCATTTTTAAGGCTTTACCTTCTTATAGTTAGAAAGTGCTGTAGTTTGTTTTCTGTACGGTATTTATAGATGGAAATGCCAATCGCTTTCTACTAGCTTCATCACTGTTTGATAAATAGTTTAATATGTTTATTCCATTTTCTTCCTCTAAAATTATAAGGCTATTTGAACAAAAATGACATGAGTTTCATCATAAATGCTCATAAAACCGATCAATAAAATTTCATTCGGATGTTAAGAAGAAATGTAGGCATTATTACTAGTTGGTACAATAACATAATCGCGTGTTCATTTCTGTTGCTTAAAAACGGAATTCACTGTATATTATATGTTCAATGTAATTAAAGCAAAAGATTTAATGCATGCATCCGTGTTTTGTAAACTAGTTTTCGTGAAACATTGTAACGACAGAGTCAACTTTACAAATTATAATTATTTTGTATAACACTTCGCATGTAAGCCTAATTTGGGATTTTATATAAATATTTATTTGACGAATATCATTATTTCGTTTACCTTTAATATGTCACTGACCTCTTTCTAATTCTCTTATAGTTTAAAAAAAATAGACTGATTAGATATTTCAGTTGTTTAATCCATCTCTTCGACAATGCTTATTTTATGAAAAACCTTACTAAAATATACTTTTTTTGTAATAATACAATTTTATTAACAATACAAGAAATGTTAGCATTACCGGCGATGCCTTTAGCAGCGATGCATTAACAATACATGTAATTGACGCGTTACATGTCGCCGCTATTGTCTGGTGTCGCCGCTAGTGCTCAGTTACAGCAATCCGCGTCAAACTACTCTCATCCGTCCGATTTCTTTTCAATCCAACGGTTGTAGAGGAAAGCGAAAAGACGTGCTGACTTTTCCTTCCATGTGTCGCCGCTATTGCCCTAATGTCATTGCTAATACCCAGACTTCTTGTAGTGTAAGGAACACTAGCTAGATGCTAGGCATGGATAGAAGAAAACACTGACATTAGAAATAAACATATAGTGGAATTGATACAAGCTTAATATACTAATTACCTGTATATATAATCATTCTTTAAACCGTTTAATGCATGCATCCGTGTTTTGTAAATTAGTATCCTAAGAATAATGATGCCACGTTGTATCTCTTATAATGAGTACTAGTCAAGAGGGACCAGGCCAACTTGATAAAGCCGTAGCAGCAACGGCCAATGGGAAAACATATTATCCACAAAAAAGTACGACAATATAAAATATCACAGTTAGATGCCAAATCAAACGGACATAATTCATTAGAACGGACGACTTGCTTCACAAGATACAAAAAGAACAGAAAACAAGTTATAGTCATTTGGTGTGAATAAGAAGAAAACTACGATCGAATGACGACAACAACACTTAACTTAAGGGGTATGGTCATACTTAACTCCCCCAAAATGATGTCACATGAGCATACCAAAACTTTACTACAAACTCACTATCAAACCGCTAGTTTTTTTGAAATGCTTATGTAGATATCATTTTTCTTTTACATTATTAGCTTAAATTAAAAAAAAATTCAAATAAAAACACACATTAAATTAAAATATATTACTTTAATTTTAAAACAAACAAATTTAAATCCTAAAATACTTTAAAAAAACATTAAAAAAATCCTAAATTACTTAAAAAAACATAAAACATACCAACTAAAACATAAATATTAGAACCTATTTTACATATTTTTCGCACTTGTTGGATTTTTAGAAATGTCGCGAGATTTTACGGATCGAGATCCGGTTGGGGTTTTGTGTTGATGATTTGAAGATCGGTAAGAATGATTTTTTGACGACGAGCTTGCTATGTTGATTCATATTTTTTCAAGAAAACTAAGAGTTTTATCTATGGATTCCTAAAGTCCGTCGTCACTAGTTGTGGTTGCTTTTCCGCTTGAAGATGCCGCCCGTTTTGGTTTGTTCTTTCCCGCTGGTCGATGAAGTTGGACTTCCAGTGGACCCTCTGCATCTTCAAAATATCATTGAGGTCGAACCCAAAACCCGCATCCGAATAGGAAGTTCTTGGCCTTTTGTTGGAGCTGGTGGTCGATTCCGAATGCGACGTCTCCGTGTTAAGGACCCATTTTGGACTATTATGACAAACTTCCCACACTTTTTGGTGACATAATGGTTTAACATTATTGGTAACTTTGAATTGGTAGCATGCGGTTGATAAAATGTTGAAGTCGTTGCAACCACTTTTTTACATATTTTTTAGATTTTCAAATATGTTATTAAACTTTGTGCAAGCAACACGTAGATCACGCCATTTTTCATTGATCGTGTTGTACGACTGATCCGTGTGCCTTCCAAGTAGTGCATGAAAGTGATCCAAAACACAATTCCAAAACTTTCCACGGATTGTGTGTTGCCTCTTCTCGAGTCACGCGATATGAAAATCCAAGCTTTCGTTAAAGCTTCCTCCTCTTCTTCGTTCCAAGACACTACTTTTTTCATTTTTGATTTTGGTTGCCTTCTTCGAGATGGTTCTAATGTGTCTTGGACCAGTTCGTCGTTGTTGTCGAGGTTTACAGTTTGGAATTGACATAATGGTATCCGAGAATGCATAAAATCCGCACCATCCACCTTGAAGATGCTCGTGAGAAGGTTATGGGTGACAACGAGATCTTGCGGTGAGAGCTCGCTGCAACTCGAGCTGAAGTCATAGAATTCCTTGTATGCCAAAAAGTATTCGAACGACACCGTCTTGACATGGAGCGCCAGCTGGCTAACTTAAGGATCCGTTCGAGGAGTCCCCGTCGCTAGTAGGAAATACTCTACTCATCCTTTCTTTTAGATAAGAATAGCCTTCCTGCTTATGCTCTAAGTAGCACTTTTTCCCGTAAACAACTCTGTATTGCAAGTACTGTTTTGCTAGTTCTTCATACTGCTGTTTCCTTCTATTGGTATGTTGTAGACCTAATCGTAGGTAAAAAATTTTACTAATTCTGGGTAATCTTAATACCAACTAAAGAGACAATAGTCTTAACTCAGTTAAAGGTCATCGTTAGCAAACGTATATCGTAGATCAGTAACCTGCGAACTAAGTAACTTTATCAAAGTCGTAGCATTATTCATCTTCGAAACGTATTTATAGGCTGTACTCTTACCCTAGACAATCACTCCTTTCCTATCAATCTCATGTCATTCTCCATAAAGAGCTTCGATATTATGATCGGCATAGATGAGTGAACCTCAATCACGCTAATAACCTTTGTTTCGAGAAAACGATTCGTCTAAATTTTTCCTCTGGCGAATCCCTCGCCATTTTCCATGATAAACTCAATTCGAATCTTCGTATCATTTCATGCATCAAAGCCCAAAAGTACCTGCAGAAGGAATGCTTTGCATTTCCAACTCATGATAATGAAATGCAAATGTTGAAGACCACGAGTACTTTCTCGAAGTCTGCAAATTTTCCCGATACCTTCCTCAAAACTAATCCAGGGATTTCTCCCGAGCGCCAAGTCGAGTTTCGTATCAACTTAATCCCTAGAGCTACCCCTGTATCTAAGCCTTTAATATCGTCTAACGCCGGCGAGAGTACAAAATTTTTCCAACCAGCAAAAGATTCATAAGTCTGTGTCATGTGAACCTTATTATGGATTGTTTTCAAATCTTTTCAAAAATTTAAAAATCAATATTCGCCAATCTAAGGTAACTGAGTTCAGATGACACTCAGTCTCTAACTACTTTAGAAACTTACTTCTATTTCATGCTAGAACCACATCATAGGGATGTGGGTCGGACCAATGAGAACCATATAGAAAAATGGGAAATTTTCATGCATATAAACATTTATAATACATCTAGAGGTAACCATTGTCGCTCACAAGCTCATTTTTTTCGACGTGTAGCAGATCATGCCTCCAAAGAAACGTAACCAACCCTCCAGTAAGACACCAGTCCTCCAGATGGACTTAGCCATGTTCCAAGCTACTGTCACAGCAGCCATAGCAGCCACCCTAGTTTTTCTTAACGCTAACAACCTAATTAGGAATGGGAACAGTTTCCACACCTCGAACTGTAGCAACACCCCCGAAAACCAACAAGGGCTTATTCAGGAGGACACTCCAACTCCCAAACCTAAGAGCACCAAATGAAAATTTTGGATCAGGATAAAGTCCAAGTTGTCTCAGAAACTTGCCAAGAGATGACAACCCGAGATAACTTCTACAGCCACCACATCCACCCAACTCGTGCCAACGCCAGTGCGGCATTACGTAGGAAAACTTCCAAATTGCGAGAGATGGAACTTCCACTACGTAGGAAAGTGCCGCAAACTTTGGTGTAAGAACTGCAATAGGCAAGGACACACCACTCGATATTGCAGGGCACCTGCACAACCAAACACCTCGAATTTTGTTATTAGGATGGGTCAGGTTTGCTACAATTGTGGCGAACTCGTACATTTCGAAAGAAATTGTCCAAGGGTTAAGGATGGTCAAGAAGCTCGTTTCACAAAGACCCCGACTCAACACATCATTTCCACTACCGATGCTAGCGTAGTTCAAGTGTGCCGTACATGTAGAGAAAAGAGACATTTCAAAACGGACTGCCCAACAGAGAAGAACAATGAGGAAATAGGAAGGATCTGACCTCAGGGAATGAGGAAGCATCAAGGAACGCCGCTATATTTTGGTACGCTTTCAAAACCCCAATAATTTCCTGTATTCCGATTATTCTTTCGTTCAAATTAAATTCCAACATTCATATAAACCTTGAAGCCCTAATGGGCGAACTATGATGGATTAATGTATACATACAGGTCTATTATACATGACTAGTATACACCAAACTATTATAGAGAGACATAGTAAGAATCATTTCATAAAAGTATCATAATTTCAAAGTATCAGAACCCTCGTACCAGTAGTACCCACTAACGTCGAACAGAAAAATAGGAAACATCAAAAATATACACAACGAGGCACCAATGTTCTAGCAAAACGCCCCATCCGAACTAACTTAATGCGCGATTATAC